TATTTATGGTAATAATATGTATACTAAGCCTGAAGGTGGCGCTTTCCTACGGCAGCCATCTTGGATGGTACACATACACAACTCTGCATTGCTCCGCCATCTTGTCAGCACTCTAGTTGTTTAATAGCTCTATGTTTCTTCCTCAGGTCTCACTATCTCTAGGTGGCGCTATACCATTTTTCCACACTAGAAGGCTTGTTGTCCAAAATGCCAGGACTTTAACAAGAGCTCATACACTACCCTATAACCAGCTTTAGAAACCCTGGTTATGGAGTTCCACTTACCGAATAATACTATAAGCTTATATGCGCTTCACAGAAGAGAGAGAGAGAGAGAGAGAGAGAGAGAGAGGGTGGGGCAGTAGAGAGGAGGGGGTCGTGACAGCCTGGCACAACAGAATACAAAAGACTTTACGGGGTCACAATCCGCCACCACTCTGGTGGCGTATTCTCGGAACCCTCCCTGCTTTAATCGAACAATGTAGGCATAAGATGTTACAATTTTGCCCGCCACATGCGACATTATGCTTAGAGATAGAGGCCAAGATAGAGCAGGTACCCTAGAGAAAGATGCCAGCCAGGTTATGTAGTAAAAAGAAAAGTTAAACTAAACTTGAAACTGATTTTATATGTAAAATTATAATAAAACCGTAATACGTACACTCCATACATAAACTATACTGGGAGTAACCATAATTACATAACGTAATCGTAAATACATTAATACTAGGTTACAAAACTATATGAATTATATCCTAATAACAAGGATTAAAGCTTAGTACAATAATAACATGGCTGTTGTTATTCTCTATTGTACAAAGTGGTAACAACTGTTACTTAAACTGACTTTTAAACTTCTAACTTTATCTTAGTTTAATATAATATAATCTTACTACAATATCTCATAAAACTAGAATGATAATAAGTTCTAACAAAATAACATAAGATGAACATGCCTGTGAACAATAAATGAAGGTGTTACCAGTTGTGTGGTCAAACATAGAATAGCAATTCATTCATCTTGACCCAGATTGTCCACCCTGGGCCTATTCTATTTTAATGTGGGTAACTTCTTGGGATAATTATTCTAGGGTGTTACACCCTCCCCCACTAAATTAAATGTAGACTCTACATTTACAAATCAATCAAAACAACAAAAAAACACAATTGTATATACGAGTTTCACAATTTAGAAAAAAATACCATGAATTTCAACTTTAAAACAAATCATAATTATGCAAGTTATCTATCTAATAAAGATTAGACGGTGACATCATCATTATCATTATCTGCGAATTCGACATCATAAGCATATATTGGTACATCAGTTGCTATAGATTAGTTTGGTATTGAAGTGCCATTCTTGGGTTTGGTATTGGCATGAACTGCTTCCACCATGGATATGCTGACATCTCAGGAATCCTGCATTGATGTTGGTTTGGTGGGATAGTTTGGTTTCCTGTAGCTTGTGTTGCGTGAACCGAAGCACTTTATTCAGGTATTCCAGGTTGATCGTAGTTGAACCTATGTCGTTGAGGTCGGCCTTCTTCCGCTACAGGAGGATCAGCAGAAAATTACCTGA